GGGGGGGGGGGGGAGGTGAGGCACTGGAGGCATTTCTTGTTCACATAAAAGAGATTAATTGTGTAATTCAACAGTCAAAGGCTAAGATTTTATGCAGCAATGACAAGGCTGTCCTTGGATTAGCTACGTCTTTTTACTGTCTCTTTTATTATGTTCTTTACTAAAGTCACACTTTTAAAAGGCCAATGTTCCTGGATCTGCTTGTAATTCAGTGTTTTTTTCCCACATTAAATTGTTCTTTATTTCAGATTTTGTCGTAACGCGGGCCAGGGGTGCCTGGGACTTACTGTAAGCCTTTGACCTGAGGCTTCACTCTCAGAATGTCCAGCAGGATGTGAGCACCATATGGGCCAATGAGGTTGAGGTTGAGGTTGAGCAGTGTGACCTCGGACAAGCTGCTCTTTAGGGATCCCGCCAGGCTCAGTAGAAGGTCGTCTGTCAGTTCCGTGTTCCGCAGAACCAGCTGCTCCACCTCATCGGATGTGCTCAGCACTGTCATCATGGCATCAAGCTACACTTACAAACCAAGAGAAAGTCATACTTCTGGATTTGTTTGGCTTAGTGCAAGAGATCAGAACAAAATTCAATTCCAAAAGTTAAGACATATCTCCAAAAGGTTTGTCACTAAAGAGATGAAAGAAATGATGGATATGGATTTTAGAGTTTACCCACTCGGCTTCGGAGAGATTTCATAAGGCCAAGGGTTGTAGAATAATGAAAACATGTTGTTGCAAGATTTTACAACAACAACAATATATTTATATGTTTTTTTCTGTTCTATAATCCTGGTGGGAAATAGTCTCTCGCATGAGGATGCATCGCACTACAAATAAATGATACTGATAGAAATATCTTATATAACTTCCAGTTCACCAGACAGCAGGTTTTTGTGAAATAAAGGAATCCCATTTTGTAGCACAGATAGATTCATTATTTCCCTCATGCAGAAGTACATACATTTACAATACATTTTGCATCACTGCCCTGAGAGAAGAGTATTGTTAACATTAAGTATTCACTGTTTGTGTGCCAGAGCAGCATAGCTGGGCCGGGAGTGAGACGTGAGCAGGACAGGTGCTGGAGGTTTTCTAAACACAGAGACCGGGTGAGAGTCCAGAAAGACATATGGTCTGGCTGTCGGCCACTTTGCTAGACCTTGAGGAATCTTTTGGGCACTGTTGAAGGCTCTTTCATCATTACGGGTACGACAGAGCCAAAAGCCTGCCTGTCCCAGATAAAACTCAGTGACCATTTGTTACAACGGTTTGTGTATTAACCTCACCATAGTCCTTTAAGGAAGAAGAATTGTTTCGTGAATGAATTGACTTTTTATCAAATAAATCGTACATACTGATAACATAATGCCCTATTCCTGTTGCTGAAGTAGATTTGATGTTTTTGAGTTGTGTGAAATAGATACACACTGATACTGAAATGTATATTCACCCCTGCATCATCTTATTTAAATGCTAATGTCTGAACGGATGACATTTGCTTCTTGAATTTTCAATTTTTAATCTTTATTACAACATCGTTTCTGCTGTGTCATCGGGGGAAAAAGGCTGAAAACTATTGCCTGGGTCCGAACCTTTGAATCTGCCTGCTCGCCGAGTTGACTGATTCTGGTCTGGTACCATTTCTCAGTTTAAAAAGTATCCATCCAGTGAGCACCGCAGGAGGACTAACAAATAGCCAATCAGAGCCACTGGCAGGACTAACACCATTTTCAAGCTGTTATCAAGCATTGCCTGGCTGAGGAGTAATAACAAAAATGGCGACCGCTATAGACAAGGTATGCACTGCTATAGATGTTCTAAACACGGCGTGTCTCCTCATTATTGCCAGACGTTGTAGTTTGCTCTTACTTAGCACTACTCCTAAAACCCCTGTAAAACCAGTGTGTTACATGGCTACGCACCAGTGTCGACTCAAAATAACTTTAGATTTAGGCAGATATGTTGTTCTCTAGTGACTGGTTAGGGAAAATCAAATACCCCTCACCCGCAAATCGGTTATAGTGGAGGCAATGTAAGAATGAAGATGAAAATTTGACAATCCGATATCAGGCAATAAAAACTACTTAACATTAATGGGCTATAAACCCCTTAAAGGACAAATTGTTTTTATATTAACACTTTATTATATTATTTGGCAATTTAATTCTATCACATATTGCAGGGATGTCGGTATTTCAAGGGCTTTTGCCAGGGATTTAATGCCAAAAGTGTTTCTGGCAGAAACACAGATTCACCACAGTAATTTGTGTTAGTACACACACCTGTGCCTGCAGGTCTTGTTCTTTAACCGGCTCTTCTTTGCCAGCACTCTGGCTGTCTGCATCCTCCTCTTCCTCTGGCTCTTCATCAGGCTGTGGGACGGTGTCACTTTCTGCACTACGCTCCACATCTGAGCCTGGAGCTTGGGGCGGGCACGATGAGAGTTTCTTCTGGAGCCGGCACCTCTCCAATACTTGGCATACAAAGAGAAGAAAAAAAACTATTCAGGCGCAATAAAACTGTCTCTCCTAAAGCCAAGTGCACACAGTGATATTGATACCCACTGTTGATGTGGGAATGCAAGTAATGAAATCTAAAATTCTGTCTGAGCATTCGTGGTCAATAGACAAACAGTGAGATGTATGCATGCATGTGTGTGTCTGTGTGAACAATGTCTGCATAAACTCTCTCACACATCATCCATTTTCCTTCAAGCAGACATTGTTCGATGTATCACTTTATTGCAAATTCAACCTTCTTTATTTCTTCTGCTAACGTGTATTATGTAAATCAGTTACAGCACTCAAGGGGGATTCCAGTTCGTTCCTACTGTGCTGCGGTTTCTTTACTCACTGTTTGCCTTGAACCAGTTGTGTTTGTTTGGGCCATGCTCCAACGCAGCACTTATTTCCACACATTCTTCATAGAAGTCCTTCAGTCTTTCCCCATCTCTGTTTTTCTCATTTGATCCCAGGTCCTTCTGTTTCTCTCCATTCTGCTTAGTCAGAGCTTCCTCATCCTGCAATGAATCTTTAAAAAGAAACACTCTTGTTGTTTCCCATTTTTTTCTTCCACAAGGAATATTAAATGGAAATACCGCATGCAGATGGACTGAAGGTCATCTGTAGCTTCACTGGAATGCATGGAAGATTTTATTCTGTTTTTCCGGCGTCTCTTACAGGACTGAAACCAGCAAGGATGAGTAACAGTGCTCACCGAGAACTTTGCTTGTCTTGTTCGATCGCGGCTGCTCAGTCTGCAGCGCTGTGACACTTCTGGTTTCTTTCATCTTTGGTCTGGCAGACGGTGCTTGGTCTTTATATTTTTCTGTCACTGTTGACCTCCGCGAGACCTCCGAGCCCTTACTGTCTCGTCCCTCTTCGCTCTTATTTCTGGCTGTCTTTCCTTTGCTCTCTCTCTGATTAGTTTGACCCTTGCGTCGTTTCTTCTTGGAGGTCTCTTTAATCCCTGCTACAGTGGGGTCCTCGCTGTCTGTAGATCCTCCGCCGCCTTCCTTGATGTGTTTTCTTGTCCTCCTCACTGACTTCCTCTCTGGTTTGGCTGGGATAAACAGAGGGGATGATGGACATGACTCGATGGTGCCTACATTGGAGACATTAGAGGCTAAATGAAAGACAGAATAAATGCTTTGTGGGACATTTTGTCTTTAAACTAGTCCATTAAAATCAAGGACTGGGCCTAATGTCAAAAAAATGTTGATGAATAAGCTTTAGGAAGAAATGGAAAATTGAGACACTCACTTCCAGGCTTTGTACCATTGCCAGGGCTCTGCTCTAAAGGGAGAATTAAGTTCTCCTTTGTGCCGTTGTTCAGCTGCTGGCAGGAGCTGTATTTGTTTCGGAGACTTGTACATCTGAAAAAATGAAAAATTTTCTTTTATCATGACTCATATTTCCTCCCCTGTACCACCACCAACATCATTCCCTCATGTCATGCAATATGCATCCTTTTTCCTCCTCTGTTGACCAACAATACATTATATTTACAGAGCAATGGGTTTACCCAATCTGTTTTGACTGGAACTAATTTCTAATTTTCTGCCAATGGTATGCTGTCCCTCTCCCAGAGGAAGAAATCTGACCTGTAACAGGGTATCCCACCAGCCAGCCAAGACAACCTAAAGCAGCTCTTCCTGCCCTGCTGGAAGCCGGGAGCATAGCGGTACTCACAGCAGGAACTGATTCTGGCCACCATGATGCCGTTAACGTACAAGGTAACACTAAAGGGGTAACCTCTGTGTCTCTGAGAGGCAAACTGGAACTGCTCTGAAAGATACAAAGAGAAAACATTGCTTGAATATTGAAGATGATCATGTTTGACCTTTCTAACAGATTCAGCATGGTCATCTCCTGTCTTGTTTGGCTTATGTTGCTGTGAAGGTCAACAGGTTCGGAGATGGTTTCCCTTGGGTTCTATGCTCATGGTGCTGGCAGCATCCAGAAAATAGCATACAGCATACCTAATGTATTTCACCTTGACCTTTGATAGCCTGTAGAGGTGGAATTATGTTCAGTTCACTACAAAATCTGACCTATAAAATAACTAATTATAAGGTTAATAGCTATGCAACCACCTATTTGTAAGTTATCATTACATGTAAATTGTTTCTGGGATTACCGCTGTCTTTCAGTAATCTCTTGACCAGGCATCAACATAGGCTACTGCATTTAGCTGTTAAGCTGACAATGGCAATTGTTACCGGTGAGAGGAGCTCCAATGTCAAAAGCTACTGATACAGTCAGTGAAAATGATGATTCAGAATTGTCAGTTCAGCTTGTGGATCTCATATTATGCAAGAATTTGAATTTAAAACATTCAAAAATTAACTAAAAGGATCACTTCTATGTATTTGGTTGCAGAGATATCTACTGAAGTTAGCATGCTAACCAGCCTGCTTCGGCCCATCCTGTCTTGTAATACCACTTTGCACCTCAAGAGCCAATAGTCAGTGTAGCGCTGCCCCAAAAACCATGTTTGGCTGCAAAGAAAGATGTGATAGAAACAAAAGGTCACAGCATTTCTTCTACACTGGTAAGTAAACAGCTGTTAATGCTAACATTGGCTATAGCAATAGCTTATAAAGGTAGCTAATTGTATAATGTTCCCTCAATTATAGTTTGTTGAAAGAAAGAAAGACCTATGGGAGGGACTGTGTCCTCGTTTCTTACATATACTGTCAATGGTTTCTTATGGTGTGATATGTTGCCCCCAACTGGTCTGGAGTATGAATTTGACAGGTGCCAATTTTTTTGTATAACTCCTTTAAAGATGCGTTCATACATGCACTGAAAACCTGTATTGCGTAATGTCTGGGAGCTTTTCAATCAAAGAGCGTTGTCCTCGTTCTATTTCAATAGACAGCAGTCTGTAATTATGTGAGGTTTTATTTTCTTTTTTTCACTTTTTTTCTTGCAAGCCCCCAGTTGGGAAAAGTATGTCATACTAATTTAAAAATTAAAGACCAAAATCAGACTTTATCAAGTCCCATTTAGGAACAATTGAGTGGAGTAAGACTGAAAGGATAGCAACATCTGAGATGTCCAATTCAAGAGGACTATTATGTCGCTCTGCCATCATGCTCAGTCTTTTGTAAACCACTCTCAGACAGTCATTGTTACTGTCTAGAGAAGCTCTAAGAGAAAAATGAAAAGAGAGAAACTAAGAAAATCAGATATATAATATCACTTAAATTACTAAAGAAATATATTCCTTGTAGTGCTACTGTATCAATCTATACAGATACGTTTGGTTTTATTTCCCCAGGTTTTGAGATATCTATCTGCGTTCTGTTTCCACTCCAATACAATAAAGGTAAATTATATTTTGTTTTTGGTGCTCGCAACAATGAGAAATTCCTTTTAAAAAATTCAATAGCAACAATTCTTTGCAGTGACCCTGTTACTCTGGGCAATCCAAGTGAGCCCACTGTCGAAATCTTTCAGACTATTTCTTCTTTAAAAATTAATTCCAATAAAACCACAAATACCAGTGTGGCCAATATGTATATACTGTAGAATACAGTATACTGCATGTGTAACGTATATTAAAAGGTAAACATTTCCAAATTCTATATAGACTGTTTGGAGTTACGTGCATTGTCTTCTCCTTTCGTTTATTCCTTAATCTTATACAGCTACAGAAGATTGTGTAAACATATCACACACACAGTTCCAAGCAGAAATCCATATCTTCTTTCTTCGCCTGACATTGCGATTCCCTCCCTGCAGTTACGACTGTACAGTGTATATCAACATGTACCAGCTGCAAAGATGAAATAACTTGTCTTGTCTACTGACTTTTTTATGTGATGTAGTCTATCAGGTCACACATCATCTTTCCACTCCTGTTCAGCTCAAATACTGCCTCAGGCCAACATCCTCATCATCATCCTTTTTTACAATGTTGGTTTGAGGGCAGAAGAGTAATTAAATGTGTGAAAAGACAGGGAAGCTAACACCTCTAATTTCACTCAATTAATCTGGGCTCGTTTTATGCGGGAGAACAACTTAAGGTCGCCTATAGATGGTTGAAAATGACTCTAATAACAAAGACGTTTTAAAGACTTTAGATATTGTATTTTTAAATTCTCTTTTGTGCACATTCTTGGCCATTCTTAGCAACAGCTGTACATTTCACAGCTCCTACCTCCTGGAGTCAGCAGGCCTTTGAAGACACAGATATTCTCCCCTCCATTGACTTGCTGGAGGACCTTCAGTTCATCCTGAGTTGACCCCAACCCTGAGCCCCGATGACCTTGTCCAAGGTAGATCATGGTCACAGTGACGTTGGATTTCTTTGCCTCTTTTTGTGCCCTTAGGTTACTCTGGTGTGGAGAGAGAGGAAAAGGTTTGACTTTGAAAAGAAGCTTCTTGTGTGCATTTTTACCGGAAGTTAAACAGATGTCAGATTACCTGTTTTTGAGGGTGGGCTCCAGTTCTCTGAGAGGATACTGAGGAGAAAGATCCTCTTCTTTTGTCATACAGGTAAGGGCAGGACTGAGTGAGAGCCCCTTTGATGGAGTTTAGACTTGATACCTTTGTTGTGATGGCTGGGAGGTAGACACCGTCCTTACCAGTTTTGCTAGAACGGGCTGTTGAATCATCCAGCTACATTGGGTACAATGCAAAAATTTATTTATTAAATTAATAAATTAATAAACGTCATTATGTAAGATAACAAAATGTATATTTCTTTATCTGTTAGTGACTTTTTGGCAAAGGAATCAATATATGTAATGGGTAGCCTATATAAAATATCAACATGATGTATTTATTATTTGGAAGTCTTCAAACTCAGTGTGTTGCAACAGGAAGGGTTACCACTTCAATACTACAATACTACACCATATTGAGTTTTAGGTGAGGAAAAGTTTTTATTATAATTTTTACAAAACACAAACACACAAGGGAACATTGCTGAGGCTGTGGCACAAACATTGAAGAATTATATTTAAAAAATTCAGTAGCAACTTTTCTTTCCAGTGACCCTGCTACTCTGGACAATCCAAGGGAGCACATTATTAAAATGTATTTTTCTTCTTTAAAAATGTATTCCAATGAAAACTGTTTCCAACTGTTCTTGTTGGCATTAGGCAGATTTCTAAACATATAAACAATTTTGAATTTAAGATTAGTTAGTTATGTATTTTGAGAACCACAGTTACAAAGAAAACGCAAAATCTGCTCCATCAGCCTCTCTATTATCTCTTATCATTCATTTGTGTTTTAGTTTCAGTTAGAGCTCTCAACCTGTAATAAAGTGAACGTGTCATGATAATAATACACTGTTCAAAAAGCTGAATGCTCACCTTGTAGATCTCCACAGTGTCAGGATTCTCGAGGAGGAGGAGTTTGCTCTTCGCTCTGATCAGACTGGCAATGGAGTGGATCATTTTAGCATCTCTTCCAGGCTGAGCTGGAATCTGTAAAACATTGAAAAACCCCTTTCTTACTCTTTTAATCCATTAAAAAGGATGTTCTGTTACGTAACCAATAATATTCACAGTAATATTATTACTTAGAAGAGTTAAACAACCATTAATAAAGCTGTGGAGCTGACAGTCAGGATTATGGATCAGAAACACACACTTACAGGAGTATCTCTGTCTCCTCCATGGACTCCTCTATAAAAGAGATCCTGAAGGAGAGTCTTGCTGTTTCTCCTGATTCTTCTCATTGATTCTTACACAGAACAGGATACAGATACAACTTCATATCAGCACAGACAGAAACAGCAACATACAGACTTTGACATGAAATATATATATTTTAGAGTGAAAACAATGCTTCAATTTACACAGTTATGAGGAACTAGAGGCAGTTGGGAGTGCAATATTTTTGTAACCATGATAATCAGCACTTTGCATCACAACTACAAGGTAATAATGGGCCAATATCTTGTTAATAACATTTAATATAAAAATTGTATTGTGATATTTACAGAGGTAATAACCAGGTATAATCCGAAGCAATAGATATTGCACTTATTCACTCTTTTGCTGAAAGTTACAGTATGAGAAGATAACGCTTTTTATGTCTGTAAATTAAGTACAGCGCTAGAGCCAGGGTTGGTATAGCTTAGCATAAATAGTGATAGCATGGGTTAGCTTTGGTCTGACCAAAGTTTAAAATTATATATATATATGGCCTAAAGAGCAAAACAACATCAACATTCATGGTATACGGAGCAAAAAATAAAAATAGCAATAGCTTAATAATAATAATAATAATAAGGTAACAACAGGCTAACATATTGAAAATCGTTCTTTTGAAGACATTACCTGCTGATTAAGAAAGAATCAGAGGTGTGGACTGTGATTCCGAGATGTGAAACCAGGTTAATATTACCCCATTATTACCTAATTACTGAGAATATGTAAAGTAATGTAAAGTGCCACCCATCAGTGTGAGTAGAGCATGTGGGATATAATTCAGGTGAGGATGATAAAAAAAAAAGTAGTGAGATGAGAGTTTACAAGTCACTGTGCTCAGTGAATAGAGTCAGGAACAAAATCTTCCCACCTGGGCCTCATGTGCTAAAAACAAGATAAATCCTCCTTGGGGAAGATGAATTAAGATGACATTGATCTTTTTTACTGTACGCCAACAAGTCTCCATTGTTTCCTTCCCATCCTGTCAGTGACTGTACACTATTTGTAACCTAATCTATGGCCATGTCATCTGCTGGGCTGAGTGCTTCTGGGACCAGAGGCAGCAGGCAGACAGCCATGTCCTGAGATTAGCAGCCTCTGTATGCATGAGTGCACCTCAGCTTCAGATGGTTAATAGCAAGAAAAAAAGCTGTATTTCCAATGCAGCTCATTTTGAAGGTAGTCATAACTCCTCAAAATGTTAATTTTAAGCACTTTAGAGCAGTTGCCGTAATCTTTCTTGCACCCTTTAACATCTGAAATTGAACCAACTGTTGCAGCTGTAATCTACTCTATCTTCAGTTTTGATGCTATTTAATAATTTAAATGTCTGTGTAACTAATGTCATTCCTGATCAGAATATAATGCGTCATTTATCCCTGCCTTTTAAAATATCGATATATATCACTGAAAAAAATCTCCAGTACAAGTACACATCCAGCAATATTTTTTTTGTATATTCACTCAGTGTACTTATCAAGGGTAAAAGTGTTGATAAACTAATAAGTACGGAGCCTTTTGATGCTTTGATGCTTTTTATGTAGTTTAACAATTCATCTTATTTTATGAATGGCTTCCATGTTTCATTAGTACAATCTCAGTCTGCAGTAACTATAGCTGTCAAAAAAAGTACAAGTACAAAGTAGTAGAAAATGAAAATACTCAAGTAAAGTACAGTACTGTACAGTAGTAAATATACTTCATTACTTTCCACCACTGTGTAAAAATGTGTTAAATAAGTTACTTGACTATTCAATCTACCTAATAGAAAAGACATGAAGGTATATCACTTCAACGTTTACAGACATTTGTCCCTTGCTGCTTGTTATACCTTGTCGATAATAACAGTGCTTAGAATTATTTCTAATGATCATCTGTAATAAGGAGTTTAAAGTCTTCTTTTGTTCTTCCTTGCTCGCTAATTTTCCATCAAAGTACATCACAGCAAAAAGATCTTACCTGTTTTCTTGTCCAGGTACGGAGCTGAATGTCTCTTTCCACCAGGTGATCTGATACGTCCACAGCTGTTGATCTCCTGTTCTCTGCTCTCTCTTCACACAGCCAGCTAGTGACACCTGAGCAGCCGACACCTTTGGCACTGGGCCCCCGCCGCCTGACATTGGTTCCTCATCCATCTTTAATCCTCCCTGACCTTTGCTCTATACGCTCTGGCCACATGTAATGTCATTTATAAAGTCATTGCCCATCTTAAGAAACACTTTTGTCAACACATCATTAGGGATTCATCTGCTGATTGATAGCTTGGAATCTTTTTATGTCAGTACCTTGATTTCAGCTTTGTACATGTTGTCCTAAGTAGGGATTGGCTGCTTTTTTCTTTTTTCTTTTTTTCGTAGACTGATGTTGGTGCCAATATATTAAATGGCTGAATTATCATTAAGTTGCCAAGAGTTGATACACTGTGCCAATTTTCTGCAGTTTAATGATTGACCACTTCCATGCCGAAAACTTGGCATGACAGGAAAAGCCTGTCAGACAGCATTCAGACCGCCATGGGATAATAACTAATTCCTTTTTGGCCTTTTTTCTGGTGTCTATCTATTAAGCAACTCTACTATAACAATGGGGAATTCATGAAACATATATATTTAAATCAATAATTTACAAAGAAAAAGAAAATGTACAAAAAAAGGTTATAAAGCTATCCAAACTCAAGGTTTACCTACTAGCTTTGTGGATCATTCAATCATATCACATCCTTAGCAGATTTGATGGAGAGAGATCTGTTGACATGCAAGTTTAATAGCTAATATATAGCAATATTGGGACTTCTTAACTCTGCTTAAGATTAAGCACGAGTGCTAAGGGCGAACTCCAGCCACTGATAATACAGTTGAAAAATCTGGAAAAATCTAGTTAGGGGGCCAAGGAATTGTTTTATCAAACTACTACTTTTAAGGTCAAGAATTAAATTTCATGTTTAAAAAGGGTATTGCTGCAGACAATGAAGGAACCTCGACCACCTTAGTGGTTAATGTCATTGACTGGCTGAAATCTGTATTTAACGGGCAGGTTCACCTTTAAATGAAACCTGTTTCAATCTTCATACGCGCATCTGGCTAGAAAAATGGTGAACCTATCCTTTAAACAGTGAATTTGTAAAAAGCAAACTCAAGGTCGACTCACTAGCTTTTCAGAGCTTTCAGCCATAGCACATATGGCGTAGCACATGCTTAACCTTCAAACCAACAAATTGCTTTGGATAAAATCGTAAGAGATACAGAGCTTTCATGTCAACAGATCTATGATGATGTCGACATGTCAACTACATCCACCGATGAAGACTGTGTGATGCAGATGAAAGCTCTGGAAAAAGCTAGTAAATGGAGTTGGGATTGCTGTCACACTACTGTTTGACAAAACAACTATATCCAAGGCCAAAATTTAACTTTCATGGCAAAAAAAGAGGTTAGATTACTGCAGTTAGATAGGGACCTTAGTCATGTGTTTAAGACTGGTTAAAATATGATTGTGGCTCAGTCACATTTGCAGATTATTACTATAATAAGTGCCGTGATAGTTGACAGACATACCGAGGAAAAAATATATTAGAGGGAATCATCTCATCCATCTGAGGGATAAAGAAAAGTCGGACAAGTTATTGCCATGATTTGTATCTCCACCAGTAGATATAAAACACATGAAAACATTTAGAATTGTATTATTAAAAAAAGAAGTCCATTTAAATGGAGACCATCAACATGTATCACGATCAGTTACCCAAGACTGTGCAGCCTTTGCCATCATGTGGTGTTATTGTTACATAACAGACGTTTTCCTGCTGTTGCCCCATAAAGACCTGCTCATTCTCTCTTCATCTCTCCTCTGTGAGCTGTCTGAATGGTTGTACTGTGCGCACGCCTCAGTTCTCTCAAAAAGCCTGACCCTCCGTGCATGCACACATTGGCTCCAAGCAGCTTCTTATGTGCCGTGGCACATCCAAAGGGCCAGTGGAGGCCAACGGGCTCCGTCTGCCTGCTGGATCCATTACATCTATAAACTGATAGGGGGTCTTTGGCTTGGCAGTCCAGCATTTGCTTCCTGCCATGTTCACTAAAGCAATGTGTCAGTTTATTATGGGCCCGCTACACACCTCCACTCTCCGGTGTCCATGACGTGACGCATTATGTGAGCCGTGCTATGCAGGAGGGGTGATTTGTCATTTTCCTCTGCTCAGCATCTTTTGAGGGCTCAGATTTGTAAAAGTAATCAATGGTCAATGTGGAATTATAAGTCGCGGCAGTGAATATTTGGAAGTGAGGCCAAATTGATTGTTGACGCCGGAGTTTATAAGCTGTGTTAAAGCTATATATCACATGTTTTATAGACAGATTATATAATATCCTGCTCTGAGGGGACAGTTTAGATTACTGGCCATTCATCCTGCCATTGTGAGAACCAAAGACGCAGAATATATTTAATTTCCTCCTATTCTTCCTGTTGTATTTAATTTGTAACCAATATAAAGCAGCAGTGGCCTAAAGCAGTGACTCACAAACTTTCTGGCAAATGAATCAGATGAGCTCAAGTCCTCCTTTATCCTCCCCCCCTCATTAGTTCGGGTTCATGGATGTAGTGGATCCATGTCTACACGTGTGAATACATGATTCAGTGATCCCGGAACATTAAAGCTTGGTCTTTTTTTTTATTTTTTAGGTGGCAGAAGTTGAACCTTTCAACCATTTCCATTACTTTTAGCTTTTTATTTAAATTTTTCTGCTAGATTGGGTGGATCAGGTTGGTGTCGTGAGCAGTCAGCCTATAGCTGGTAGCTTAATGGTTAATGCAAAAATCAACTGACCAAAGATCACACCAATTTTTTTGTATCCCTTTTGTATGTTGATTTTCCTCCTAAACAAGAAAATGTAAACATATATTCATCTTTATTTTTAAACAAAACATAATTTCTCCTTTTTACTACTACCCCACACTCTTTCCAGTATGCAACGTATACAAGTGTGATGTAGAAACCTAAAGCCACCAGTGCACATACACTGAGAATGGACTTGAAGTGAAGTAGGAGACATCTTGTGTCCAGCAGGAAAACTACAGAAATGA